CCCCCCATCCGAGCGGACGGGCGGCGGCGGCGGGACAGGGCCGGGAGCCCCCCGACCCCCTCCACGAAACCCCGACGGGGCGGCACTCACCGAGCAGCGGGGAGGGGTCGGGGCAGGGTCCCGGCGGCGGCGGCGAGGCGGCGGCCCCAGGGCGCTGCCCGCCAGGGAGTAGAGCAGGGGGGCCGAGAGGTGGAGGGCGCAGAAGGCGACGAGGAGGCGGCAGGCCCGCTGCAGCGAGGTGCCGGGCAGAGACGGCTCCATCATGCCGCTGCGCTGGCCCGGGGAGCGCCGCCGACGGGGGGGACGGGGACGGGGACAGGGCGGGGGCGGCTCCGCCCGCTGCGGGGGCGGCCCTGATCCCCGCCCACGTCCTCTCACCGCCGCCGGTAGCATCGGCGGGACCACCCCCCCCATCCTCCGGCATCCCGCCCCGGCATCCGGCTGAGCAGCGTCTCCCCCGGTACCGGAGCGGGATGGCCCCTGGGAGCGAGCACCCCACTCCTCCCGCACGGTACCCGGCTCCTACCGCCTCGTCGCGGCGGCTGCAGGTTGGTGCGGGTGGCTGTGGCATCCCGCAAAAACGGCTCGGCTCTAGCAGAGGGCGTAAGAGGCAGCGGGGAAGCGCTGCGGGGCAGCGCGGGCTCTATCTGGGGGTTCCTGCCCCTCGGAGGGTCGTAGGTAGTCTCCGCTTGGCAGCGCTCGGCAGGCACCGTGGTTTTCTGTCAGCCCAGAGGAGCTCGTTTCAAGGCATCTTCTGCAAAGCGAAAAAGGCCAGGAGCATCTTTCTGTTGGACAAGTCACAGGAGCCCAGCAGTGCCAGCAGCAGGGCCTTCTGGAGGTCTCAGGCCAGATGTCCGTATCGGAACAAGGCTATTGCCAGCAGGAGGTGAGGTCAGCTGTGGTTTTGTCCTGCTGAGCCTTGAAAGCCGCCCATTGTGGGGATCTCCACCTCGCTGGTGCCCTGCTCCAGAGCTGTCCCACATTCCTGGGGAAGGAGTCTCCTCATGTCCATTGTCAAGCCAGCAGAAGCACCTAGACAAGCAGGTCTGGGCACCATCCAACATCCCATAAAATTTGATGTGTTTCTTCCGAGTGGCAAGCCCACGAGCCTGGAAAGAGCCCTCCTTGGAGCTGCCCTGTAACCCTACCTCAGCCAGCAGCGGTGATGGTGGGAGGATTTAGTGTTGCCCTTTGGATGAACAGTCAGGAAGCCAGTACTAACCTTGCTGTTCGCCTGGTTGCTGCAGGCAACCTCCTCACGGCCGACTGGAGAGGGGTCAGTGGGCATCAGTGGCTCCCAGGGTGAGGCTGAATGCTGACCAGGCAAAATCCCCCTGGTGCTCTGACAGACTTGCCTAAATCTGGTTAGCCCCGAGTGCTTCAGGGACACCTGGTGACACTCAAGTGGTTTTCAAGTGCAATAAATAACTCCTGCCAGTGGTCCTTAATGCTACTATTTAATGTTAGTGTTATACTGTGTCTCAGGAAAGCAAAGTGACTGCAAGGAGAAGTGAATCTACGTTCTTCTCATTGGTTAAAACTACTTCCCAACACAGGCAGTCACCACTCCCACTTCCCTCAGCCCTCGTGGTCTGCTGATTTCAGCAGCCTCTAGTGCTGCTTGGTGGGCTGCCAAACTGCTGGTCAGTGGAGCTGGGCTCTCATCCAATGTGTTTGGATGCTCCTTCGATGTTCATTCAAACACTGCTCGCAGGTACTCTCCCAGATGAAGATGCCCTCTGTGCTCTTTGAAGAAGCGTACCGTTTCGCATCCATTGACCTCCAAGAGCCCCGCTGTTTCCTAGTCTTAAGACTGACCCTCTTCTCTGAGGTCGGGCGCTGCATGTGGCTGTTCCTCTTTGTTTCTGTTGAGGTTTGGACCAGCTGGACCCCACCAGATCGACGTTTTGTCATCTGATCACACAGACTGTAGCTGTGTGATCAACAAGCACAAGCACAACGTGCATGCTTTTTTATTACCAGTTCCGGTGAAAACCAGCAGGATGTGGTCTCAGTTTGTGAGGCTGTGCTGAGAGAGCAGAAAGAGGAAGAGAATGGCCAGGAAATATGGCTGTTGCTACCAGTGGGAGAGTCTGCACTCATCTTTAAAAACTGAAATGGCGAGTGGTCTATGGGAGCAATCCTGATTCTGGACAAATCTACCTCACTGTGGGACAAGGGAGTTTCCTTTTTCTGGCAGGACAAGGAGTTCACTTCAGGTCTCAGAGTCTCTTTGCCCTTCCCAAGCAGCTTCCACTATCCACCTGAAAGCTCCTTTGGAAGATGGGCATTGCTTCTGCTGTGGGGAAGCTCAAGGAGAAAGAGTTATCCTGCAGTCAAGGTGCCTGACCAGAGACGTTTGCTTCCTCCTTTCTGCTCACCTACACATTTCTCAGTTCTTTCTGACACCCGAGTCGAATAATCACCTTGTGCTTTGGTTAAACCCGATGTTGTGAGCATCACAATGACAATGCTGGTGTCCACGATGCTAATGCTGGTATTCTCAGTCAACATTCAACTAAAGACCAGCTCATAAATTACCTTCTTTAATGAGCAAACTCAGCTTTCAAAGCTTCCAGGCTCCCCAGACATCTTTTACGGATCAGTTAGCAAAAGGCAACCCAGGAATATGACTCTCAGCAGAAAACCCACCCTTCACAACTTGCAGGTCTGTCCGCAGTTTCCATGTTTCACTGCTGTCAGCAAACATCTGGACTTAACGCTAGTTAAATTTGTCTTTCCTTTCTTTCAGCTTTGAATTGGGCACTTGTAGGGAAAGTTCCCTGTGGTGAATTGAGAGTCAGACCTTGATTATGACTCAAGGTAGAGTCAATGTGATTTCTCATGATACTATTATGTATCTCATAGCTTAAATTTAGCAACCAGTAGCAAAAGAAGTTATAGCACAGTGTTTGGTACAAACATCAGAGGGTTAGGAAGTGTCTAACACATTTTTGCAGGTCTGTTGTAGCACCCTACCAGGAATGCCTGCTGTATTTTGTGCAAGTGGTATGAAAATATTGCCATTTATTTCCATGGGACCACTGTCTTGCTTGCACTCAACATGGCTCCAGAAGTAGATCCAGACTATTGATAAAAGTAGCCTCTGACACAGCCAGGGATTGTATGCCTTCTGCACACACAAAAGCATGCAATCATGTGGGCATGGGTAAATACAAGGAGAAATTTAAGTCTGTTACAGCACACCTATTCTTGGTATGAATGTAAGATGTCCTACTGAATCCATGATTGAGGAAACAGAAATACAGGCCTTAGAGGAAAGACACACACATGCGTGTCCTTAGGGAAGGTCGGGCTGCACACACTGCACGTCAGCCCTCTCCAGCTTTTCACCATTGCAGTCTCCACCCCAGCCCAGCCCGTGAAGAGGCCTTGGAGATCTCGCTTTACCAGTCATACCCGAATCAACTTCTAGATCCCTGGCCTCTTTGTGGTGGTGGTGGTCTTTTTTGGTGAAGGTAATTTTTAGCCTTTTTCTCCCTACAGAAAACCTGCTGTGCGACTATACTGCTTTGCTGCACACGAGTACATCCGTCCATCCACCATGCCTAATGACTTGCAAATTTGATTTTAATTAAACTTGGCAGTTGGAAGAGATCATAAACATCCAAAATACTTGCTGAAACATGCCATCATGGTGCAACAGAGTGAAAGTTCACTGGTAATGTGGGAGGCATTTGTAGCTGGGATCAAAGTATGAGGGGAAAGAGGGGGGGTTATAAGTCCTGTACTCTTAGAACAAAAGCAAAGTTCTCAAGGAGCATGGCAGAATCCAGGAAAGGAGGTGAATATGAGCCAAATGGGGTTTAATGAATCCTGCAGCTCACAGAAGGATTTGTTTCAGTGTGATGTAGCTTTCCAGGTCCATGCTGAGGTCAATGTTTTAGCTATGGGGTAGCACCAACTGCTGCCATGGGGCAACCGCTCCTCCCCTGAAGAGCAGCATGTGGTCATCAGCAGCACTGCAGGGTTGTATCCACATGGAAGTGCCGTGTCCCCTGGTCCACAACAAAACGTGACCCTTGTGAGCCTGTGGTCTTGTGGAGTTGAAGGTGGCTGGGACAAATAGGGATGCAGGAGCTGGTCTAGCCCTTCTGGATACCTCTGTGTCAAGCCTCACAAGCCCTTTTCTGGTCAGGGAGGGCACAGAGAAGCACAGCCCCTCCAGCAGCGCTCCTACCAGCTTACCCCAAGCTCAGCCTGCATTGTGCTGTCGGCTTCTCCAGGGCAAGTGGGAGTTTAGGCTTGTGACTCCACTTGTCACTGTGGTCGTGGCAGCCCTGAGCGTCCCTGGGGACAGAGGCAGGCTCCACACATGTAAGCAGCCTTGGCTTGCACTGGGGTGAAGTACCCAGGCCCGGTTTTGCTCACAAGAGCAAAAAACATGCAGTGCACCTTCCCAGGGCAAGAAAGCGGTGCCTGGGCTGAGCATGGTGCAGGCAAGAAGCAGGCAAGATGGGAGTTGGGAAGTGAAGGTCGGGATCTGGGGAAGGGCCAGGTGAAGAGGGCTGGTAGACAGTGGTGGGTGGCAGTGGGGCCGTGCACTGCATGGGGTGTCCAAGTTCACAAGTCACCACCCTGAGCGCTGGTGATGGGCCCTGCGTGTGCGTGCATGTTCTGGACTCCAGCCCCCTGCACTGTGCTGTGGAGCTACCTCTTGAGTCATAGAATTGTAGAATCATCTAGGTTGGAAGGGGCCTTCACGATCATCTAGTCTAACCATCAGCCTAACTCTGACAAAAAAAATCACTAAATCATGTCCCCCAGCACCATGTCAACCTGTCTTTTCAACACCTTCAGGGATGGTGCCTCAACCACTTCCCTGGGCAGCCCATTCCAGTGCTGAATAATGATTTCAGTGTAAAAAATTTTCCTAATGTCCAATCTGAACCTCCCCTGGCGCAACTTGAGGCTGTTTCCTCTTGTCCTATCACCTGTAACTTGGGAGAAGAGACTGACCCCCACCTCTCTACACACTCCTTTCAGGTGGTTGTAGAGAGCTGTAAGGTCTCCCCTCAGCCTCCTCTTCTCCAGGCTGAACAACCCCAGCTCCCTCAGGCTCTCCTTATAAGACTTATTCTCCAGACCCTCACCAGCCTTGTTGCCCTTCTCTGGACCTGCTCCAGCACCTCAATGTCTTTTTTGTGGGAAAGGGCCCAAAACTGGATGCAGTACTCGAGGTGAGGCCTCACCAGTGCCAAGTACAGGGGGACAATCACCTCTCGGGTCCTACTCACCACACTGTTCCT